CAACTGACCATATCTGTTAGTTCAGCTCGGTTAGTTTGTCTGAGGGAGTAACAAATGCCTGGGAAAGCCCTAGACGGATGCCCTCGGCAACCCTAGTGGGTTGTGGTGTGTGTGTGATGGGGCTTTTGAGAGTCAGGCGTGGAGGGTGAGGAAGCTCTGGGGTGCTGCCTGGGGTAGGACCCGCTCTTCAGGTGCTGTGGGGGCAGCATGGGGCCTGGTATTATCAGGAGGGAGTGGTGCCAGGAGAGAGGGTGAATCACTTGCTCCCACCCCCATCCCGGTGCCACCGCACCTGGCTCCTGTCTGTGGGCTTCTGTCCACGCCATGCCTCCTCTGCTCCCCTTCATGCCCCTTTTCTGTATTTTCCATAAAACGGGGAAGGAACAGTAAAATAATAATAATAATAATAATAATAATAATTATTATTATTATTATTATTATAAAGCAGGAGGGTAGTAAACAAGCTTTTCTTTTTGAGTTTATTTCGTGATGTTACAACACTTTGGAATCCTGAAACAAAAATAAAGTCAACTAAAGAAAAAGGTCCACATTAGTAGTACAGGAAAGAGAGAGAAGACTCAGAAACTATACAGAGGATTTTTTTTAGATTTGCCACGAACTCAGTAACTCAGATCTGAAGCTTTAAGGCTGAGGAGAGGCGCGCAGGACAGTGCCAGGGGGTGTAAAGAGAGGCTGCAGACAGATGGGTGGCCCGCTGGCCGAATTCCACTGACATGCTTTGTTTGGCTCATATAATACTTGAAAAATATTCGAATCAATTTAAAATGTGGGAGTTTTCACAACAAAACCCTTGGTTTCCAGTCTTTCCTGAGGGGCGAGGAGTGCCAGTGTCAGGGCTGCGGTGGTCAGTGAATGCCCCACCCAGTGAATGCCCGACCCTGAGAGTGTAACCCCCGCCAGCACGCCACCCTGGTCTGGAGGCTTAGAGCTCCCACTCCGAGCAGCTGCCCGTGGGTGGTGTCGGGTCGGCACTTCCTGGACCCTGCCCCGCCCCTGCATCTGCCCCTGCCCCTGCCCCTGGCGGCCTGCATGCCTGAGAGGGCCCCTGAGCTGGGAGCGCCTTGCAGCAGACTCGCAGTGGCAGAGATGCCCTTGGTGGAGCAGGCGCCAGGCGAGAGGCATTGATTGTGCACGGACACGCAGGGAGCTTCCCTGCTGCCGCCTGAGACCATGTCAATTGTTTCTTTCCTTTAAAAAAATTTAAAATGTGTTTTCTAAAATTATTAAGATTATTTTATGAGATCCATACCGTCTATGCGGTACTTTATAGGGCGTATCTGGCCACAGCTGGGGTACTTCTGGGTGTTTTATGGCAAATTATTCTCAGATTACCCTCTAATGCAGGAAGGCCTGCCTGTTGTCTGAGCTCCCTGGGTCACAGAGAACACGCTCGGACTTGATACAAAGCAGCTGCCTCCGCCAGCTGTTCCAAAAAGGGAGCATTTTAAGGCTGAAGCAGCAGGGAAAAGGATTTTGTAGCTGGTAGAGATTTTGAAAAATGTTAAATTACTCTTTCCCTGCCATTAAAGTGTGATTTAATTTTGTTATTAACAAATTGTATAAATCTAAAAAGAAGTATTCCAAACGGGGGTTTGTTAAGTGCTTTCTGACAATACAATACAGTATGTCCTGGGGGGTGTCTGTCAGGGCAGTGGCAGCTCAGAACTCCCACTGACCTCCCTGTCCCTGGTCCTCAGCCCTGCTGGGCTGGGGTCAGGGGGCCAACCCCTGGCCCCCCTCCTCCCTCTCCCCTGGGTCCCTGCTGAGACCAGCAACAAAAGGGTCAATTGTCTGAGGCCTCTCTTTGTCTCTGGGGCTCTGTGGGCCTCCCTGAATGCCAAAGTTGGGTATGAATGCCTGTACTTATGTGTACATGCCAGTGCACATATATGTGTGCACGTGAGTATTGTGTGTGCATACACATGTGTGGGCACATGCAAACACATGTGCTTATTACCATGCACACACAATGCATGTGAGTGAATATGTATAAATGTGCATGCGAATGCACACAAGTGGCAGCACACACATGTGCATGTGCATGCATGCACGTGGGCATGGAAGTGTGCACACATGGGCATGCACATGTATGCACACATACATGCGAGTTGGGTACATGTGTGCGCGCGCATGCACATGTATGTGTACTGCCTGCATGTGCACACACACACAGTAGTGAGACTTGCTTAAAGCATTTCTGAGTTGCTGATGCTTCTCAGTGGGTCTTGACTGGCTGATAGATGTTCCTCAGGCACAGTTACTTTTTCCTAGAATGTGCTATGGTACAGAAGCATCAGAACTTACCATGCTCCCTGCCCCCTCTAGGGTTAGAGAATGCACAGGAGTGAGGAGTAGGCACGAGAGGCTCCTTACACAGCTTACTGGCCTCCCCTGCCTGTTCCAACCTGGGTTTCATGGTGAGGCTCACAAGGGCTTTTCCAGAATGTTCCAGCACCTTCTCAGGGCTTTCTAATCGGATCTAGTGCATTCTGTGTGGGGTTTCAGCCATATTTGCAGAATGACTGGATGCTCCGTTCCCATCCACCCTCGAAGCTGGTTTCCACGTGGCTCTGGCACCTTTGCATGGGTTCTGGTCACTGCTTCCTCGTGCAGCTTTACCAGCCTGTGCTCACAGAGGCCTGCACCTGCTCTGGCTGGCCTGTGTGACAAGATTCACAGTTTTTTCCTTAACAGAGGTGTTCTTTAAAAAATGACAATAAAACACATCAGAAGCCAGGAAAAGACTAATAAAAACGCTGAATTGAAATTCACCTCTGTGAAGGGTTTATCTGCAAACCCTGCTCAGCCAGCACAGCTGCCGTCTGACAGCTTGCTCTTCGTTTTCTTGACTCTGTCCTTCTCGTGCCCGTTTTCTCCCCTGCTCCAATAAGGGCTTGTCTTTCCACTGTGGAAAAGCCACCAACGAAACAGTCCTCCAAAGCTTATCCAAATATTCAGTCAGTAAAATTATCTTACAATTAGCCTAACTGTAAGCCAGAACTGTTGAACCCTAGGAAACATACAAATTACCCAGCACGTTAGATCTATAAATTGCTCATCCTGACCATTGGCTGCAGATTCTGTTTTTATTTCATTCCCAAAATAGTTTCTTCCTTGTTTTTTAAGTTTTTGATTGTCCCCAAGGCAACTTCCTCTGCTGTTGGCTCAAGTGGCTTAGTTGAGATATGTCATCGAATGAATTCAGGTGAGTGTGACACAATGTTGACTTGATGTATATTTCATGCTTCACCCTGAGACATGCGTTTTGTAAGGCTGAGCCTACCCTTGCAGCCTGCTGATGGCTCATTGTTGTCGGTTCTGCACTTGGAGCGTGTACAGGGATGATAGCAGCTGGATTCTTCTGGAGCTGAGCAGTTCACACAGTAGTGGGGGGATTCTGTGTATGTCACGCTGAACAGAGGCTTTGGGCTTTCTCATCTCAGTGATGATTTTACTTCTAAGCCTCTCTTCCCTACCCCTTCCACCCCCCATCACCTAGGGACCCTCCTGTTACCTTGCACGACTCCACCTTGCGGATAGCAGCACAGAAGTTACCCCACCTCTGTGGGGGTAACATTAAGGACATCAGCAGTGATGTGTTTGGGGGCCTGAATGTGCAGTTTAGAGAGATGTTTTGCCTGCAAATGATATTATCAGTGATGCTTAGGATTTTAACTGCTGTGAGTACCTTAAACTAGTGATGCTGTCATTCGAACATGAGTGGGTGAATGAGACTCATGCAGTTGTCATCATGGCTGGTGTTTTTTACATGATGAGATACTTTCAAAGTTCCAAAAACTATCTTAAAATTTAGATTTTGGAATGTGACATTTTAATAAATGGGATATTGCCTTATATAGAGGGGAAGTTATTATTTATAGTTTTCCTGTTAGGCAGTTTGCACACATGCACACACACAGATATAAACATAAATACAGAAAAATTGTTCAATCTTTACATTCATCCTGTGAGAAAATAATAATTTTGCCCATCTTACAGTTGTGAACACTGAGGCTCTGAGAGCTTAAATAACTTGCTGACACCCATGCAGTTAGCAGCTGAAACGGTTGTCCTGACTCTTCCGTGATCCACTACTGACTTCAAGTGAACAAGCTGGGCCCAGGCCTCGTGACTGGATCCCTAGCTGTGCTTGAGAAGTGTCCACGACACCTGCAAAGTGGAGAGGGAATCACAAGGCTACCTCAGTCCCCACTTGTTCTGTGCTCAGCCATCATGCACTCTTTCTCTTGACATCACACATAGATCACAGGCTCGCTGCCTTGCTGTCTTCAGAGCTGTTGCCAGTTGGAGTCAAGCTAATTTGGTCAGTGTGAGCCCTCAGCAGGGCTCAGGCCCAGCGGTCAGTCCCCTGGGCAGAGGGGCAGAGGACAGTGGTACTCTTCTCATGCAAACCTCAGAGACAGTGCACGTGGCAGTCCCATCCCGCTGTCTGTGTTTTGTTTCAAGAGTGGAGAGAACCCTACTTTGCTCATCGAAACAGAGTGGTGGTCATCCCAGGCAAGAGTGGGGAGTTGGGGGGATGTTGGTCAAACGTACACACTTCGAGTTTTAACATGAGTAAGTTCCAGGGATCTAAAGTGCGGCGTGGTGACCACAGCTGACAAACTGCATTGTGTATTGAAAGTTGCTGGGCACAGATTGTAAGTGTCCTCACCAAATAAAGACAATTATGTGAGGTGAGGGAGGGTCAGTGGACGTGGTGACATGCGGTAGTTATTTCACAGTGCGTACACAAGTCAGATCACCAAGACGTGCACTTTGAATATGTACAGCTTTATTTGTCAATTGTACCTCAATAAAAAAGTTTTAAAAGTATTTAGAAAAAAAACAAAATAAGCAGAAAAAAAGAACCCTGTTTTGGAAGTCTTTCTTGAGGAGAGACACCTTCCGTTTAACCCGTAATGAAATATTGTAGACCTCTTTTAAGACCTTTTTCAGATGTGACTATCCTCTAAAAGCTAGGCTGAACTATTAAAATGTGTCATTTATGAAGAATTAACAGTGAGACATAATAGCAAATGTTTAAAAATCATTGACCAAATTAAGTTTATTTTCTGTGAATTCAGCGTATTCTTAATATTCGTTATAGCCACAGATAAAGTTTATCTTTTTTAAAGGAATGTACTTACTGGTTTATACTGTTGACTTGCTTGAGTGTGCAGGATTTTGAGCTTCATATTGGTGGTCTCTCTACCCACAATGTCAGGGCCACAGGAATTAAATGAAATTATTCTAGTTGGTTGGCAAGAGTTAATCGCTATTTTGAGGAAGAAGATTTTTACATAAAGTGGTTGGTAGGAGCATGTTGCTTTAAAATTTTTAAAAAATGTTTTTATTGGTTTTTAGAGAGAGGGGAAGGGGTGGGAGGGAGGGAGAGAGAGAAAGAGAGGAGAGAGGGAGAGAGATTTTTTAAAAAATCATTTCCCTTCTTTTCCTTTGGAACATCCCTCACATGTGCGTCCTGAGCGTCTGGGAAAGCAGCTGCCTGTTTCTGCGGAGAGCTACGGGTGCCTCTTCCTGGGAAAGCTCAGATCTTGCTCTCATTTGTTTGGGGAACCAAATGTGCCCTTCTCTGTGGGGGTGAGGCTTACCCTGCCTTGGCTCTGAGGAGAGCCTAACTTGTGCAGGAACTCAGTCTGTGTGTCTGTGTAAGCTTGAGGAGAAAGCTGTCTTTTTAATACTTTGTCACAAAACCAAGGACTTTTTTCACCCATTAACCTTTTTGCATCAGGGATCAGGTAAGAGAGTGGACTAGGATAGACTTGCGGGTGGTACAGGCTGGATGGTTTCTTTGTCCCTGTGCTCCTCCATGGCCCAGGCCTGGGTTTGTGAGCAGATCCCTGCTCTGCACTCATGGCCTAGGGGGTGCCTTCATTTACTGTCACTCTTTATGGTCACCACCACTACATTGGGTTGGTGGAGAGTCTTCTCTGGGCTCAATGCTTTCTTGGGGAAAGGAGAATGTCTTTTTCCCACTGCCTGGGCAGCAATTCGGATATGCCTCCTTATGGGTGGGGGCAGGGGTGTGCTCTGGAAGGGAGCTCTTGGCTTGAACTGTAAACATCTGTGCCTCTGGCCCCCTTCCCCACAGCAGTCCAGCCCTGCTGAAGAAATGCAGTTACGAGTCCAAGTAGAAAGGTGGACTTCAAGCCACAGCCCTGCAGGAGCTAAGGATAGGAGTGCCTTTGTGGTAAAGGGGGAGACAGATACCGATTTTAGTCAGGGCAGAGCTTTGTTCCTTCTGTGCCCACATTTATGGAAACTGCCCCTGTTTCTATGGCTGTCTAGTGTCACTGAGCTACCATTTGTCATGCTCAAGCATTCTGTGTGTCAGAGATGACAAAGTTTGTCACCACCAATCTAATGCCAATGGAAGTCCCCAGTCTAGTGTATAGTAAATGGAGAGACTTTATTCAGGTGAACATTACAAACCAAAAAAATGCAGTCTCTGAAAGAAACTGAAAGTATGCTCCCCTTGGTGGAGGATGGGGAGGGCTGCTTATATAGAGAATGTGCTCACCCTGCTTGGTCTATTTTATGCAAACAAAGGATCCAAATGCATATAATTTGATTGGTTCACATAGCACTGTCTTGATTGGCTGGAATCAGGTATCTTGAATGGTTGTTGTGGAGCCGCTCTGATTGGCCAGTAAAAATGTAAATGAGAATATAGTTGTGCAGCTCCAATTGGTCAGATGAAGCACATCTCATCCCATTGGACAAAGAGTGGCTCCAGGGAGTCCTTTATGAGGATTGACTCAGATGGCAGTAGCACAATGCAGGGGGCTGGCAGCCCCATCTGTGGCTTTTTTCCTAAAAGCAGTGTGATTGAGAGGCTTCTGTCAAGAATGGCTACTAGATTCTGGTTATGAATTTGAGCTCAGTTACCCACAAGGAGTCCATCTTAGCATATATACTCCTTCTTGAGGTAACAAGGATTTGGAAAGGGCAGTCAAGATGGCTTGTAACTACATCCACTGGGATGAATAAGAAAACAGACAGAAAGTGTCAGGTGTTGGAGAGGATGTGGAGAGATTGGAACCTTCATACACTGCTGGTGGGAATGTCAAATGGGGCAGCTGCTTTGAAAACAGTCTGGCGGTTCCACAAATGATTGAGCACTGAGTTACATATGACCCACAATTCCACTTCTAAGTGTATAATCAAGAGAAATGAAAACATATGTCCACACAAAAACTGGTACATGAATGTTCATAGCAGCATTATTCATAATAGCCAAAAAGTGGAAACAACCCAGGTGGTCGTGAGTTGGCAAGAAGATGGATAGGGAGTGGTTTGTCTGAACAATGCAGTATTGTTCAGCCATGGCGAGACTGGAGTCCTGTGCATGCTGCACACGGAAGGACCTTGGGACATGCTGGATGAGGGAGGTTGGTCATGGGCCCACGTGTTGTGTGATTCTGTTTGTGTGAAGTATCCAGAGTGGGCAGGTCCATGGAGGCAGAGAGTGGATTGGAGGTTTCCGGGGGCCAAAAAGGGAGATGGGGAGTGGCTGCTGATGGGTGCAAGGTTTCTACCGAGGGTGGTGGGACGTCCTGGAGTCAGAGGGTAATGATAGCTGAACAACTCTGTTCATGGTTTAAAGACCATCGAACTATATACTTTAAAAGTGAATCTTATGGTATGTCAATAACATCTCCATAAAGCTAGTCTTTTAAAAATAATAATAATAATAATAATAATAAAAAGATGGCTTGTGTCTGCCCCACAGAGTGCCTGTGCTGACAGACCGAAGACTAGGGCAAGGTCATCTGAAGGCCCATTCACCTGTGTGTCTGGTGGGGGATTCTGGGTCATGTTGGGAGGGGCAGTGGTCTCTGTTCCGCTGCACATGGGCTAGTTTAGGCATCCGCACAGTCAGGTGGTTGGCTTTCCTTGAGTGAGTGTACTGGAAAGAGAGAGCCAGCTGGAAGTTGTCTCCTTTTTATGACCAGCCTGGGAAGTCCCCTGTAGCATTCCTTCCACCTATACTGTTGCCTGGAGCAGTGGAAGACCCCCATTTGCATTCAGAGGGAAGACAGAGATCCCACCTCTCAGGAGAAGGAGAGGGTCACATTCTGGAAGGAGAGTTGGCCACATTCTAACACGAGCATGAGAGGGGGGAGGTCTTCACATGGCCGTTTTGGGAAAACGCAGTCTGTCACAGAACCCAACTGCATGTTGGAATATTTATTTGGAGCACTTGTGAAAAGAAATTGAAGACTCTTCAAGGCACGTAGGTGTTAGGATGCACAGTAAGAATGTGTGTAGAAGACTTCAGGACAGACACATGGCCTTTAGGAGGAGGCAAACCAGTCAAAGGACGCTTCTCAGAGGAAGCAGATCTTTAATTGCCCTTGTTCTACTGGGGTGAGAGAATGGGAAGCAAACCCAGAGGCTCAGGCAGATGCCTTGGCAGGCTGATCCTATAGGTCCTTGAGAACACAGAGTCTTTAAACTACTGTTTGGCATCAGTTTGGAGAAGAGTCAGAATGTGGGGACGGTGTGGAAGGATGGGATTGATCTAGGCTGACTCAGTCTGTTTTTAGTAGTTCAGTCTCAACCACAAACATCATTCCTGACTCTTGGAAAAGAATCCCTGCACAGAGCTGGGTGGATTCAAGGGGGAAGTTCAGTAGCTATCTGTGGTATGTGAGCAAGTCTCTTCGGGGTGCAGGTCCCCCAACCCAGGCAGCACAGCAATGTCTTCCGGCCAGGCCACCCATGCTGTCACAGGTGATGTTCTGGCAGATGGGCCACCCTGTGCTGTGTTGCAGGGATGTTTGCTGTCCCATCCCCTGTCCTGGCTCTGGGGTGTTGTGAACAGAGCAACAGTCATGGATATTTACGTAATGCAGCAAAAAAAAAAAACCCAAACAAACAAAAATCTAAGTAAGTTAGAAAGGAAAGTAATGAGATTGAAGAGGAGGAAAGTGAGGGGACATCTACTGAGACTCCCTGCAAGCTCTGAGCTCCTTCACCACCTGCCTCGTGGACTGGGGACCCTGGGTGAGTGGCGGTGCAGTGGAGCTGGTCTCCACAAAAGGCTGCCTCACATCTGTGTGTTCCTTGCGCAGAGTCGGAAGACTCTAGGAGCAGAAAGGATGATTAGGGAGTGATTGCTGTAACTCATGGATCGGGGGCAGGCCCTTTGGCTTGGCTGGGCCTCTAACAAAGTGTCAGTGTCTGATTCGCGCATCTGATTTACATGAGCCAAGGTGGGAGTGTTCTGGAGGGGCATCTGACCTGTCCATGTATCAGCAGCATCTTAAAATAATGCAGGCATTATTACAGGTTGTGTTTTCCAAAAATTACTTCTGAAATACAAGGAATTCTTAATTAAGGTTCCAGGAAGCACAGCAACATCTGTAAATTGTGTGCAGGGGGTGAGAAACCTTCTCCCGGAAAACCCCTAGTCTGTAGGAATTGATGACGCTTAGTAACGTGTCACCGAGAGCCATTCGCAGGTCAGGACCCACCACCTGCCCCTCACCCTGCAGTCTTGTCCTGTCGCTGGGGTCAGTGGGCACAGGAGGAACCTGCCTTTCCTCCCAGAAGGCTGCATGGTGCTGTGCTGCCTGGCAGTGGATCTTGTGCCCCTCCTGCTGTCTGGCCCTGTCACTGATCTCTGTCCTCATAGAGGAGCAGGGTTTCTGGTTGTGTCCTCTCTTTAAAAAGTCCTACTAGCTTAGATGAATTGAAACCACTATCCTTTTGTTGATTATGTTTTTTTTTTTGTAAAATACACCTGATGTAAAACTTACCATTTTAACCCTTAAAAAAGTTAAATAGTGTATAGTTAGTTCAGTGACATTGAAGTACAGTTGTCCCTCAGCATCCATGGGGCTTGGTTCCAGGACCCCCTACCCCCAATACCAAGATCTGCGGCTGCTCAAGTCCCTTTCATGAAATGGAGTGAGTGTGAAATTGCACACAACCAGTTGTTTGCACACAGGCGACAGCAGGGTGTGCTTGAACCTCACGTCATGCGCGTGGATTGGATTCAGCACAATGCTTGGCACGTAGAAAATTCAACTTTTGCTTTTGGGAACTTTCTGGGATTTTTTTCTTTCTGAATCTTTTTGATCCATGGTTGGTTGATTCCACAGATGCGAAACCCACAGATACAAGGACCAACCCACTACACATTGAAATTATACAGCCATCACCACCACCCATCTCTGGAACTTTCCCGTCTTCCCACACTGAAGCTCTGTCCCCACTGAACACTCTCTCCATTCTCCCCTTCTCACCCTCTGGGAACCCCCATTCTCTATGAGTCTGACCACTCCAGAGACCTCATATAAGTTGGATCATACAGTAGTTTCCTTTCTGTGACTGGCTTATTTTACTTAGGGTGTCCTTAAGGTTCTTCCCTGTTGTAGCTGGTGTCAGAATTCCCTGCCTTTTCTAGGCTGCATACTATTCCATCTGGGTGCACTTACACCTTTTTTTTATCCCATTCATTAGTCAGCGGACAGTGGGATTACTTCCTCCTTTTGGTTGTTGTGAATAATGCTGCTATGAATGTGGGTGTGCAAGTATCTTTTTTGTGTATTTACCCACAAGTGGAACTGCTGGATCATATGTGATTTTATTTTTAGGTTTTGAGGAACTGCCATTACTTTTTAAATGGGGTTGCTCTTTTGCATTTATAGTTCCAGGTTATGCCAGAGGTTCACGGTTGCTACTGAGAAATACTTTCCATGTCCCTTGTCACTTTGACCCAGAACCCACATGGTAGAATTTAGGGTTTCCTGGGTCCTCTTGGTGTTGATGGGGTACTTTTAGAAACAAGATTTGGGACTTTAGATTCTGATTACCAGGTCTGTTTCCAGAATCTAACAGGAGGGCCAGGGTCAAGAGAGATGGTGGAGAAGACGCAGCAGATTCCCGTAGTAGGTGAGGGAAGTGAAGGGACGAGAGGAGGCAGACGCGGTTCCGAGATGGCAGTATCAGAAGAATAGTTCACTTATGAAGCAGAATGAACTGGGGGGACTTAAAAGAACATGAATGTGGGGAGGAGTGGAAGAAGTCACTAAAATCCTTTAATGCTCGGGCTGCTGCAGATGTGTGGGACCGAGCTGCCTGGAGCAAGAGTGGCCTTTATGTGGCAAGAGGGGCTCCAGACTCGAAAGGGACCTGGTGCTGTTACTATGTATATGCATTGGTGCTTCCTCCATCCGATCTCCCATGTTATAAAGAACATGTTCAGGGCCCAGAGCACCCCCCTGCCCACTAATGCATGCACACACCACCTCTCCCACTGCTGCCCCCAGACTTGGTGGGTGAGCCTCTAACTCCCGCTAGACCAGCTACTCAGACCTGTCTGCGTGGTGTGGGAGTGCATAAGTGTGTGTGTATGTGTGAACATCTTGTGTGGGGGGTCCTACTCTGACTCTGCAGACATTCCGAGAGGAAGAGCATCTGCCGTAACTCACTGGGCGTTTGACAACAGGCCCTGTGCACATTTCACTTGTTATCATGGAGTTTTCATTTATTTTTGTAAAGTCAAGTCATTTTCGCAGAGTGGAAAATTGTCTCTTGATGTTCATTCCCCACTGTTTGGCTTGAGGTTTTTGGGTGGAATCCACACAGTGGTGACAGCTGGGTAACCCCCAGAAGTGCCCTTTGCAGATAACAGCTCTCGGGGCCCCACCACCCACACAGTGGGGAAATTGTTCCCCACTGTGTGGGTGTTTTGTTTTTTCTTTTTCTGCAAGATTGAGAGTTTAGATGATCTTCCTGCCTGTCACAGTGCCGCAGCTTGAAGAAGCCTTCTGCCTCCTCGTGGGAACCCCGGGCCGGGAAGCGCCGGGCTCCTTGGCACTCACCCTCTGACGTGATGAGAGGCCTTGGGAACCAACAGCGTGGGGGTGGGAGGGTGGGGGGTGGTTTGCACGTGGCACTAAAGCCCACGTTTCCAAGAAAAGCTTATGAAAGCAGGGTGTGAGAATGGCCAACTAGCCCGCAACAGAAGTATTTTGTTGTGTTATCTTTTTGTTGGCTGTCTTTCTTTACTAAATGAGAGACGGAAGCAGATTTTCAATTTGGCTCTGCTCTAGTTCGCCAGTGGACCTCCACGGAGGCTTGACTTTGAGATGAGCCTGAAAATGTTTCGCAGCTGACTTCTTTTTGTAGGTTCTTATAAGTCCTCAGAAAGGCCAAATTTGGTACCCTGTTCAGGCCTGTGCCCTAAATCTAATATTGGTACCTATAAGGTCCCAACTCCCATGGAAGTCTCTGGAGTCCCCTGAGAGCTGACAAGGGGAAGGGAGAAGCGGGGAGCCTGCATGTGGTCAGAAGTGCGCAGGGTTCAACTGGCCCTGCGCTGGACTGGTGGGAAAGCCTTTGCACCGAAATGTGGGTCCTGAGATCCGAGAGTCACGCCCAGACTGCCTTTGGTGTTGGGTACGAGTGAGCTCAGAGGGCCCTCCAGGAAGTGAAGGGGTCGTGTGCTTTTGTGTTCTGATTTAGATTAGAAGCGGAGTTTGAAGTTCGTAGATGAATCAGAAAGCTTATTGAACAGACACAGCACACAAACGAAATTGTCATCTTGAAATCCCAAGGGAGGAAAAGATAAGAAACAGGCCATGAGGTCTATTGGACTTTGATTTTGAGTGTTGGCAAACACCTCTCGACTCCCATTTGCAGCTGGTTTGATCTTGTGGAGACAGCTGGGGTAGACTGTGTTCTCCAAATTTTGTAAAAATAAACAAAGATGCCTTTCTGCCCTTTTTTCCCCTTCCAGAGAATAGCTGTTTCTGTCACTGGGGTTCTCTGCTGACTGTTCCATCTGTCTCTATTTCAGACTTCATAGTAAGGCTCTGACCAGATTTATGCATGGGGTTGCCAAGAATTTTATTCAACTTCAATGGTATAATCTTAAAAGCAAAGCCATCTTTCAGAAGGTTGCATTTTTTAGATGACCCTAATATAAAATATTGCCCCCAGAGAGCAGAGCATGAATATTCGTGGGGTGTCTGAATTATGTGCTCTTACCTGGAGAGAACGCATTCTTGAGGGCCGAGGTGGTGGTGTCAGCAATTGTGGTGGAGCTCAGCCAGGGGCTGTGAATGTGTGTGTGTG